TAATTTTTTAACTTTGTCAAATTAAGATAATAATTAGAAATGGTATTTCAATTCGTATTTTATAAATTTTAAATCGATTTGATATTTAAAATTTTTTTTTTTTAAATTGAGTTTCGAATCAAATAATAATAAAAAAATTTAGAGTCAGATTTTAGGTAAACTTATCTCGACTCGATTATATATATTTAAATTATTTTTAATTATTTATTTAATTTTATATATTTATATTTATATTAAAAATAATATTTTATTAATTTTGAATCGAATTAAATAGATTATAATTTTATATAATATCGAATAGAATTAGATTCGAGTATTAAAAAATTAAAAAAAATCATTGAATTAGGTTGAATTCGATTATTGCAGATATTAAATCAAATCGAGTTTAAGATGAACAAAAATTTATTTCAATTAGATCTGTTATCATTTTTAATAATCACATATATTTTTTTATTTATATATTAAAAACATGCCATTATTTTAATTTTATTTATAGAATTAAAAAAAATTCACTATTAATATATTTAATAATAATTTTTTTTTATCTTAGCACAATTTTTTTTATTCATACGCCATTACTACAATTACCACAAATGGTTGGATACCCTTTTACAGGGCCTTGGATGTAGATGAAGTTTTGTGTTCAGGTTAGCCCATGTTAGTTTTGAGTGCTGCTTGGACTTATCTTAGCCCAGCCAAATCCCTGTCCAGGTTCCACTCACAAGTCAAAAAGCTTTTAAGAGCTGAAGGGAGGAGTAGTTGGTTAGGATTTTGCTTTAGTGGGAGGATAAGGAGAGACATTGATGCAGAACAAAAATGTTTGATCCAATTCGATGTCAGCAGTTTCTTAACATATATTTGGTAGGTCTATCCACGGATTGGGCTTTAGCCATAAAATTTTGTGTTTAGCTTCAACCTAACTTGATACAAGATATTAAATTATTAATAAAATATTTTTTAAAATTTAATTTTAATTCAAAAATATTAAATATTAATATTTTAATACATTTTTAAAAAAATTTTCTGCATCATTTTTCTTACAGAATATTATTACAAAATATGCAACAATTATGCCAATCGAATAATATGTATTTTGATCATATTCTTGAAAATTACGAGTTCTTTTATATATAAAATAATACTACTTTTTTATTTATACGAAAGGTACGAGGGTAAATTCAAGCTTTTAACTTAATCTTTATTCTATAAAGAAGTATCAATCACTATTGTTAAAAATAGTTACTTAAATTCCATAACAGATTTATTTAAAATTGATTAGATATTATTTAATGAATAAAAAGATTTGTAAAAAAAAAATTTCAAGAAAATTTTTTTTTGATAGACAAGTTTATATACTTAAAAATAAGTGAAATCTCTATAAAGTTAGGTATAAAAAAATATAAGAGAGTTATAAAATTTTATGAGATAGACACTCTATAGAATTATTAGAGATTTATGTTTTATGAATGTATATATTTGAATGTTTGTAAGTGAATTAGAAGAGATTGAAATGATCCACATAATTATGGTGTATAAATGCACATAGGTATGTATATGTTTATATTGAAAATATTTTATAGGACTAAAAGAGATGAAGGTCTATGTGTATTAATTATGAATGTTTGATTTGATTGTATGTTTATAATTCTCTATAACTAATGAATTTTTTTCTTATCCGTAGACATGATTTATTGGGTCGAATCACGTTAAATTAATATCTTTTGTCTCATTGATTGATTATTTGATTATACTTTTGGTGGCTTGAATGTTTAATTAGATTGTAACTTTTTGACCTAACAAGTAATATTAGAACTATCATGATCCTAACATGTATTCAAAAGCATAATTATAAAGGGGAAACAAAAAAAAAAAAACCAAAGTGTGGAAAGAATGATGAGCCTTAGAACATTTGAAATGATGAGAAAGATTTGAACATTGATCAAATCTAATAATTCCACCAACTGGCAATCCAGCTAAAATGGTAGTCACTTTCTTGACAAATAAGCTTACCACTTAATAATAAGATTGGATTAGATAAAATAAAGTTGGAAAAGAAGAATATTAAAAGAATCTCTCTATCTTGGTATTGGAAGGTATAATATTTCTCCATCAAATTAAAGGAAATTTAAAAGAAAAACTAAAGTAAACGTCAATCTTTTGTAAAGTTAAAAAATTATACTGATAGAATATCAAATGAATTCTTTAAATTTAAAGGCTATTAGCTAATAATTCTTTTAAAATTTGGGTTTGGAGGAAAAAGTTTATTTTTGATAACTTATTATCAGAATCTTAAAAGCTTGAGATGATAGGGAACTTGATTTACATCAATGAATGGGTTTTGTCCAATATATATATATACTCCAAGCATGCTTTGATTTCATGCCTATGTTATTTCATTTTCATGATCAAAGATTTTTGGCTCATTGGTAATTATCATTGATCTTGATGTGTAACCCATGAGAAAAACATAGTTACATTCTTACTTAGGCTATGTTTGATATATATTTTTATTGTTTTTATTACTTATTTTTATATATTTTTTACTTTTTGTTATTTTTTCCATACAATTTGAAAATTAAATCATATACTTGATTATTGATGTTCTCACTTCTGACCTATGGTCGGTTATAGGAATGTTTATTCGGTCAATTCAATTAATTTCGAATTAAATTATCTAAAATTTAATTAATCGAATTATATTATTTAATTTTTATTAATATAATTGAATTTATGAATTTCAAAAATTAATTGATCGAATTTAATTCAGTTAGTTCAGTTAATTTTTTCAATTAATCGAATAATAAATATATTAAAATTAAATTATATTTTAAACTATTAATTTCTCATATTTTAAACAAATTATATAAAATTATCCAATAAAATATTTAAATATTATATTAAAAACTCTAATAAATTATGAAAGTAAATGATATATTTAATATATTTTTATTTTATATTTGAATTATATTATATTTTAATTAAAATTTCGGTTAATTTAATTTTTGAATTGAATCGAATTGATTAAAAATTAAAATTTTTTTAAAATTATTTTTATTAACAGACTTAAATTAATTTAATGACTGATAATTAATTAAATTAAATTAATTCGACTTAGGTTAAATTTAAATTAGAAAAATCATTGAACCAACAAAAAAATCACTCCTATGGCAAGAGTGCAATAGGTAACTTAGGGTAGGGGGAATGCAGAATAAGACGTTTGGATTTGGTTGGTCTGTCTGGTTATGCAGTCGCAACACTGTCACAATGTTTTGCTGCTGCCTGCTGCCCCGTAAACTGCAGCAAGTGGTTACCTGTTCGACGGTGACATTTGCCACCTACTTCGCCCTATCAACTACCTCCAACTGTCAATAACTGCTTTGATTCTCCGTACACTTCAGCCGTCTTCCTCCCTCCACTTCCAAATCCGACGGTCCATGTTTTGTCTTCTAGACTTCTCTCAACTTGAAGTCGACGATGTTGCCCATCAAGGACTCACCTTTACCTTTAATTAACCATCAAGTACACAAGGCAAATTGTAAGAATTTTCATTTTAGTAGCTTTTTTTTTTTTTTTAAAGCCAATGCTAAGGAAAACAAAAGTTGGTTTTTTTAATTTTGTGTTTCTTTTATAAATAAAAGATTTTTACACAAAAAGAATTTTCAATTTGAAGATAAAAAATTGTAATTATTAATATTTTAATCTCAAATATATTGAAAATTACTTATTAAAAATAATTATATAAAATAACTTAAATTAAATTTCAGATTCATAAATAAAAATTTTAATTTAGAATGTGCTAACTAATGTGATTAGAATAAAAAAATAATAAATAAAAATATAATCTTACAAATCCCAAACTATACAAAGATTATATGTATAAAAAAATAATATAATAACTTGTGTTCATCTCAAACAAAATGAGATGAAATACATTATTATAAAATCATTTCAATTGAATTAATTTTTTAACTTGTTTTGTAAAAAAAAATTATGTAATAAATATATAGTTTAATTCTTATAGTTTCTAATATTTTTAAATTCATAGTTTTTAATTTGGCAAAAAGTTGTCTACCCTTTTATGGTCCAACTTGGTATTGAAAATAACCGTATTTTTACTTATGACACCATTGTAAGCTATCTTAATATGATCTCAATTGGTCAAAGCTTCACATTTTTTTTTAATTAAAAAGAGGTGGCAATTTGATGATATAAAAAAGTGATTATAGGTGGTGATATTCGAATATTTAATTTATTGAATGTTATTTATTAAAATAATTACATTAATCAATTAAATTAAATTTTAAATTTAATATTTATATTTTTATATAAAATATGATTAAATTTAATTATTGAGAAAAATATTTACATTTATTATTAAACCAAATACTCAAATATATAATTTTGCATTCAAAATTAATAGTATCATTAATTAACATAGTAATTACAATAATTATATGATTGATGTGATTCATAAAAACTTTTCATTGTTTTAATATTTTTTATTTGATTTTAGAAAAGGAAAGAAAGTATTTCTAAACGAAAAAAAAAAGAAAGGCTATTAAAAAAAGTTATTGAATTATTTTATTTATAAAATAAATTTTATATTTTTATTATATTTTAATAAATTTTTATTATTTAATTTATATTTAAATAAATTATTGATTTATGTTAAAGGTTTAATTAGGTACCAATAAAAAATTAAGGGTTTATTTGGATGCAAATAAAAAATTAAAGATTTATTTAAATATAAATTAAATTTCAATGGTTTTAAATGTAATAAAATTATGGGAGATTTATCTAAATAATATAATAAAGTTGAAAAGTTTTTTTTTTTTGTTATTTTAATTAATTAGAAAAGTCCTTTAGAGTCAAAAGAAGTCAATATGGGGTGACTTTGGTAATTTCATTGAAAGTAAATTCTTCACTCAATTTTCATGTGAGTAGACAACATATAACTGCACATTCCCTGCCTTCTCCGCAAAAACACAGAAAAAGGAAAAATAAACACACAGAGAGAGAAGGTTTAGAGGTAACCGGCGATGAAATCACGGTCAAATTGCAGCCGTTGATCTTGCATACTCTCTCTGACTCCGGCTTTCATCATTAACGGCCGTGATTTCTCCTCCTCTTCCTTCTCTCTGTTCAGTGCCTGGAGTTTTTATTATTCAGTGAAGCTTGGTGAGTTCTTCGTTTCTTCTTTCTTGTCTTCCTCAATGACTTTCATTTCTTTCTTCAGATTCTTCTGCATTTCTTGTTTCTTTTGTTCTTCCTCTGTTAAAAAATGGAAAGAAAATGAAACTTCCTCCAACCCTTTTCATTCTTCTAAATGTTTTCCTTTTGATTCTCTTTGTTATTTCGTTTCATTTGTATGGTTTTCCTTTCCCCTTCCTTCAAGAGTTCGAGCTTTTCCTTGATCAAAATCTAAACTGAGATTTCTTTTTCTGTCATTTGCTAGACAGTGACGAAACAAAAGAGAAATCTTTTTTAGTTTAGTAAATCAGATTGTAGTGGCAGGTTATTTTTGCTACGTTTATTTCTTCGTTGTTATTTGTAGATTTTATTGAGATCTTGTGTTTAATTTTTTCTATCTTCATAATGGTCCTCATGGCGATGTTCATTTTCTTGAAATAATGGGTTTTCTTTTTTACATAAATTTGTAAAGATTTTATCTTTACAAATTTAAGTAATTCTTTGGTTTCTTTTTTTTTTTTTTTAATTATTGAGTTTTGGGTTTTGTTTATAAATCATGCAGGTCTATCAATGGCTTATATGCATATGTAACTGTTTTGGCCACACGCTGGCTTTTTGTTTCTGATGTTAGCATCTATTTCGGGCCAGTTTACTCGATCCGTTCTGTTAATGCTTGTTTGGCATGCGATTCGCTCTCTCATTCCATCGGTCTAAGCAGTTAAGTTGGGCACCACCTGCTTGATAGAGAAGGATCACGTCTGTCGCTGACCTCGAAAACTGCTAGTCTTCTGCACCTTGTTATGGCTAGTAAGTTGGATAGTCCGGTACAGGCCCAGATGGCTGTTGCTGTTTTTAATGGTATATGCAATGGGGAGTACCATGGGAGTCGAGGAGCTAAACCTGGTAAGACGCGGCGTGTCTTTGTACAGACTGAAACTGGCTGTGTCTTGGGACTAGAATTGGATCGGAATGACAATGCTCATACAGTTAAAAAGAGGCTACAGCTAGCCCTTAATGTCCCTACAGATGAGAGCTCGTTAAGATTTGGTGATCTTACTTTAAACAATGATCTTAGTGCCATTCGGAATGATTCCCCACTTCTTCTCACTCGAAATGCCATGCATAGGAGTTCATCCACTCCATGTTTCTCACCAACTGGGAAGAATCTTCAACCGAGAGATGGAAGTGGTCTGATTGAGATATTAGGGTGCTCAAGTCATTTTGCTGGAACAACTGAACTGGTGAAGGACATTATTAAGGCAATGCAGAATGGTGTTGATCCGATCCCTGTAAAAAATGGGCTTGGAGGTGCTTATTACTTTAGAAACATCAAAGGTGAGAATGTGGCGATAGTGAAGCCGACAGATGAGGAACCTTTTGCACCAAATAACCCAAAAGGCTTTGTAGGGAAAGCTCTGGGCCAACCTGGTCTAAAACGTTCAGTGAGAGTTGGAGAAACAGGATTCCGGGAAGTAGCTGCCTACCTTTTAGATTATGGTCGCTTTGCCAATGTGCCTCCAACTGTTCTTGTAAAGGTTACTCACTCAGTCTTTAATGTCAATGATGGTGTGAACGGGAACAAGCTTCAGAACAAGACGAAGGTCAGCAAGATCGCATCACTGCAGCAGTTCATTCCTCATGACTTTGATGCTAGTGACCATGGAACTTCAAGCTTTCCAGTTGATGCCATACATAGAATAGGAATATTGGATATTAGGATCCTTAACACTGACAGGCACGCAGGAAACCTTTTGGTCAGGAAGCTTGGTGGGGTTGGGGGCTTTGGTCAAGTGGAACTCATTCCAATAGATCATGGTCTTTGTTTGCCTGAGAGCTTGGAGGACCCTTATTTTGAGTGGATCCATTGGCCTCAGGCATCAATTCCTTTCTCTGAGGATGAGCTTGAGTATATAAAGAATCTTGATCCGATTTGTGATTCTGAAATGCTGCGGACAGAGCTGCCCATGATTCGAGAAGCATGCCTCCGTGTTTTGGTACTCTGCTCAATATTCCTTCAGGAAGCAGCTGCTTTTGGACTGTGTCTTGCTGAAATTGGTGAGATGATGAGTAGGGAGTTACATGGCCAAGGCGAGGAACCAAGTGAACTTGAAGTTGTGTGCCTTGAGGCAAAAGAACTCGTAATGGAGATGGACATATCATTCTTTGAAGCTGATGAAAGAGATGATGAATTTCAGTTTGACATGGATTGCGAGGCAGCAGAGGCTAATGTTGCCACAAAGATATCAGGTGATTTGTATGTTAAAGCACCCTTTCATTATGGGTCTGGAAGTGTGAATGACCGAACCTTTCTAGCTCAAGTTGATGAGAATGGTGAAGAGTCCGAAATTCTGGTCGATGAAGGGCCAGTTAGGTCTGGACTTGCTGGTAGGCGCAAAGAGGATTGTTATACTGCTTCAAAGTTGTCTCTCTCCTTTAAAAAGGTTAACTTGGGTGGGAAACGCTTCCACTACCATGGTGGAAAACCGGAAAGGAATTATATGATGGGCTACTCATCTACGATGAGTAGAAGTGCAAATGAGCAGCTTCCTACATCAACAAACTTTGTAAAGTTTGCTGACATGAATGAGGAGGAATGGAGTCTCTTTATTGTAAAGTTCAAAGAGCTTCTTTACCCTGCTTTTGCCAAGCGAAGGTCTCGAACAATTGGACACAGACAGAGGCTGGGGACTTCCTGCCAGTTTTGAGTTAAATATCCTGTTGTAGATTTTAAGGTCTGAAGAATAAAATTTTTGGTGCTGGGAATTGGTTTATCTACATAGGTTTCTTTCACAATTTATAGCCCTGGAAGAAGAAATCATAGTTATTAAGAGTAGTCTATGTTGTAAATATACGTGGGATCAGAGTTTCAGTAACCAGATTAGTAAAGGATATGAGAAAAGGTCATCAAGGTTCTATCTTTATTTGATATATGAAGTTCTGGATTTCAGAATTTCCTTTTCATTGACTGTTCACAATTATATGATAAAAAGAGTTCTTGGAAAAAAGGAGAAAGGTTATGAAGTCCAACAAGAGCATTGTTTTGTAAAATTATATGCATTTGTTTTATATACATGTGAAGTTTGTAATGATGTGATCCAATACAAGACTACTTTCAAATAATTTTATCTGGATGATATCTCCTTTATTATGTCGTTGCAAGTGTTGCCTCTCAATGCAGGGTTGTTCAAAGTGAAAACTGAAATTGGGAGCAGAAAACTATTACCTCTTACATCTGCAGGTCAATTGCTGAATAAGTGGCGGTTGGTTAGTGTTTTTTTATTAAGCGTGAAGGAGTTGCTGGATTTTGTCCAGTACATCTCTTTTTCGGACTGATCTAAACAGACTAATCTACCCCAGTGAAGTAGAAAGCTTCTTTGCCAGGGTTTTAACCACCAAATCTCACTACCTAATTTACGACTTCACAGCTTTGCCTGATTTTTCCAAGATTTTGCACCCGCACCCCCTTCCTACAAAACTCTATTTGTAAGTTCAGGGGGGCTGACATTTGCCCACATTTGATGTAAGGTCTCAACATACAGGGAGACCAATCTTCGTGATTTCCAAGCAATAGAGACTATGCCAGCAACACAACAGCAATGGACGAAAGGGACAGCATAACTTTGTTGTAATCTGAAAACCTTTTGGCTTAGCCAATAGATGATGTTTCTAGGACCTAAATTGTAGGACAGTTTGTCTTTCCAAAAAAGATGCTTCAGTTATAGTTTTGCTGATTGTGAAATGCCAATGCCGAAACTACTCAGAATGCAAGACTGGAAACATATTGGCTAGTGGGACTATGACTGTTAGTTATCAGAAGTGGCCCTTATTTTTCTCAAATTCATATGCAGAAGAAACCAGTTTGAACCCTTTCTTCAGGTTCCCGCAAGGGTCCTAATCCGAAGAGGTTAGTTTGGTTGTTCCAAAACATGCGATACTTTGCCGATTTATAGTGCCGTTAGAGGACATGAACCCCTCCTTTCTTGACCTTGCTTGCAATGTAGACAGAGTAAGAACTCGGCAAATGACAATGGTAATCCATCAGCCATTGTATTAATGGTGCTGGTTTACCCTAGCGATAAACCTCAGTACCGCCGGCTGCCTGGTTTCAGGTATTACATAATGCGATGGAATAGGACTCGAAACAAAAAGGTCCCAGGAATCTTGCTTTGACCATGGAGGAAGCGAGGAGTATGGAATTACAGGATAAGTAAATCAATTTGGCAGTAATTCTTTAAAAACCTCGTTTAAAAATCATTTTACACATAGAAAGTCAATATTTTTATATAATCACATGAAATAATATTTTATAATAATAAATTATTTTTATTTTTTTTCAAAATATATAAAATCCATTAACAATAAAAAAAATTTTAGATGCAACAAATAAAAATAAAAATAAAATTTACAATTATAAATATATTAATATGTAAATATATATGTATAATAAAATGAATGTATTAAGCATGTCATATTATCGTGACGTGTAAATTTAAAAAAAAAGAGACATGAAGGATAAAAAGATTGATTGAAACGAATCACAATTAGATATTTGTCAATTTGATTTTAATTATTATAGTACTTGTATATATGTTAAATTTAAATATGCATGTTTATGAAAATATATTAATGACAAATTTATTTACTTTAAATTAAATATCATTTATAATATGTAAACTCTTGTCAAAGAGTTTTAATGTTTAAGTACAAATAATTATTGTTACTATGTATCCAATAGATACAAAGAATAGAGACTAATATATATAAATATAATAAACTTAGATTTGAGGGGTAATTTTATAATTGTTTAAATTGAGTTAACAAAGTTTAAAAGTTGAGAATTCTAAATGTACCCCAAGTTTATACCCATTTTTTTTTTAATTTATAAGTGAAATTACTTAATTAACTTTTTTATATACGTTTTTAGATAACAATACTCGGTAAATTTTATATAATTTTTTAGAAATTTATTTTTTGGAAGAAAGAAATTGAAATTTTAAGAAAAATTACAAAATAGAGAACTTTATTAGAAATTTTTATTATGTAATGAAAAAATTATTATTGAAAATATCATAAATCTTAAAATTAATAAAAAAAATTAATTTTACTATTTTTACCTTAAAAAATAAAATCTTATAAGACCTTAATTTATTATTTTCTCTTTTGATGATACGAGGGATGATAAAAAAAATTATTAGATCTTATCAATATTTGAAGGCTTAAATTTTTTGAAGTTGTACAAGTAATACTATTTAATATTATACAATTTTGTTAAAATCTAATATATTAATTGAAAAAAATACATAATAATACGTAATTAGAGAGGTTTCGTCAAAAAGTTCAGTTTAGTTAGAATTATTATAAAATTTTAATAATTGATAAAAGTATTTATTAAAAAATCAATAATAAAGTTTAAATTTATAAAAAATTATATTTATAATTTTATTCTCAAGTTAGTTAAGACCTCATAAAATTTTATTTTTTTAACGTTGAAATAATAAAATTAATTTTTTTTATTAATTTAAAAATTTATAATTTTTTTAATAATAATTTTTTTCATTACACTAATTATTAAAAATTTATAATAAAATTATTTTTATGTAATTTTTCTTAAAATTTCATTCTTCCTCCTTGAAAATCAATTTTCGGCTATAATCCATGTTAGGTAAATTATATAATTTTTTTAAAATTCCTTTTTGATAAATTATAAAATTGATCAAATATGGATATCCAAAAATATTATAAAAAATAATTAAATAATTTTACTTATGAAAATTTTTAAAAAATTAGGATAGGAAGAGAAAAACTCAGATGTATTTAGAAATAAATCTGACAATTTTAAACATGATACGTGACATGACACAAAAATGATGTAAAAAAAAATTGTATATGCATTTAAAAAAAATATTTCGTATTTATTCGTATTAACATAAATTTTGACATGACAAAATTTGTGTTTTATACGTGTTGACATGTTTAAATATTATAAGATACGAAAAATAAATTTAGATAAAATGTGTCACATGGATACATGTTTACTACAAGACATGACATGAAAAATACATTTAATTTAATTGTGTCCCACGAAAACACGTTTAACATATTTAACACATTTTTTTAATAGTTATTTTAATTTAATATAAATATATAAAGATTATTTTAATTTTTAATCTTTTAATTATGATATCTAAACCTAATTAACTATTCAATATACTATATAAAAATTATTTTAAACATTTAATTATGATAATTATTTAAATATATATTGTTCTTTGTAGCTTGTTACAACAAGATTAAAAAAAAATTTTTTATTAAAAATAATCGAGAAAGATAATATACACTTAATTGTTAATAACAAGTAACATCCAACATTATAGTTATTGATCAAGCAATGCAAATCCAAATCATATAAATGTATAATAATAAATTATATTGATAATAAATAACATTTATAATGATAAGAAATTATATGATCATCTTAATAACATGAATCATGATATCCGATTATTTTAAATCATAAAAAATTTAAAATAATACATATTCTAAATAATATGCATAACAATAAAAATTATATAATTTATTCTAATATTATATTATAGATAATATTAAAACATAACTTATAAATTATTCTCATAAATACATAAATTGGTGACTTATTTTAAATACTTTATTCTAAATACATAATAAGAGATTATACATTTGAAATTAAACATAATTTATTTATTCTAAATAACATTTATAATGATAAGATATTATATATTTTATATTTTTATATCTCATGATAATGTATTATTATAATGTCATGTATATGCTCATCTTAATGATTTATTTTATATACTTTATTTTAAAATTAAATCACATTATATGATACTTATATATAATTATAAAAGCTTATATGATTTATTCTAAATCATATGAATATGAGCATACCCATGATAATTAAAATATATAATTTATCGTAACTATATTATAACATATAAATATATATTAATATAATATTTTTCAATAATTTTAATAAGTCATTTAATATAATATAATATAATAAATAATTTATTTTAATTATATTATAATGTATAAATACATATATTATAACGTATAATATAAAAATATAAAGATTATTTTAATTTTTAATCTTTTATTTATGATACCTAATTAGCTATTCAATATACCATATAAACATTTAATTATGATGTTTATTTAAAAATTATTATAAAATTATTTTTTATGTTAGTAATATAAATATTAATATATTCAATATATATATATTTGTAATTTTATAATAAGATTAAAAAAATTTTTTTATTAAAAAATAATTTAGAAGAACAATATGCATTTATCAACATTATTAATATAGCAAGTAATATCCAATAATATGATCATTGATCAAGCAAATCAATATAACCATTGATCAATCAAATCAAATTCAAATCACATAAATATACAATAATTTATTATAATGATAATAAATAATATTTATAATGATAAAAAAATTTATGATAATATTAATAGCATGAATTATGATAAAGTGTTATTATAATGTAATGTATATAATTATTTTAATGACTTATTTTATATATTTTATTTTAAAATTTAAAACGCATCATATTATATTTATATATAATTATAAGAGATTATATAATTTATTTTAAATTATATGTATATGAATATACCCATGATAATTTAAATATATAATTTATTTTAATTATATTATAACGTATAAATATATATTAATTTAATATTTTTCAATAAATTAAATAAGTCATTTTAATCTAATATAATAAAATATATAATTTATTTTAATTATATTGTAACATATAAATATATATTAATTTAATATTTTTTAATAATTTTAAATTGTTAAAAATAAAAATAAGCACCCTTTTTGCGTTATTCCAGTTTTTCATTTGTAACCCTAGTCGCTCATTTCAGTCACAGTTCACTCTCAACATTTCGTGTGCCATCTCACTCTCACTGCCCCACACCCATCTTCTCCCCCAAAACACCATCGCAGTACGCCTCTTACAGCAATCACCAGTCTCCAGAATAGATTCCGTCACTGCTTAACTTCTCAATCTTCACAGTTTTGAGATCTGAGTCTTCACACCTCACAGTCACAAGCACCAA